TTTTTATCGGTCCCAACTCACTTACAACAGATGGTAGGACGCTACCTCCGAAGCCATCAAGCTTTTAGGCAAGTATATGCTCGATCCGACACCCGAAAACACCATTTTAAGGTGTTCAACGAAGAACAGACGTGGCGACTGGGTTTGGGCCGACATTCCTCCGCAGGACTGGACCCTCACGATGAGTCGGTTTGGAGTGGATGAAGTGGGAGTTTTTGAAGGGCGCATAAACGTCAAGAGAGCGAATCAGGAATTCGTTCACGGCTATGTCAATTTGACAGTCGCGAAAGTGGAGGGGAGTCAGTTGACATGGAGCAAGTTATCTCATGAGAACGGAAAGACATTTAAGTCGGTCGCACTTATGAATCGTCCCCGAAGTTATAAGGCGAGTGATGATCTGTATTTTCTCTTCGCCTTAGTCTGACCATCGCATCAGGAAGCAGTTGAGTTCGTGAAACATATGATTAAAACAAATCCGACAATTGGAACCTTTTTGCCTCCTTCAGCATACAGTAAGCACACGCCGTGACTTGGATATTCACCACAAACTCAACCATTCCATCTGTAAAGATCGCGACTCCTTTGCCGATAATTTGACAAACTTCACTTTCTGTTACTTTCTAAGTAACTCTGGCACGAACTTGTGGGCAGAATTCCCAGAAAACGCATATGAAGACGATGAGGTCTGGCGGGCGATCGTACCTTCTCCTCACTCGACCTTGGGAGTAATTGCCAGCTGAGTCTTTTGTTGATGCAAATTTGCAACGCGATGGACCTGGTATGATGAAGGTTGTGTAAAAAATACGTCGTCCTACACGTAGTACGCCCAAGCAATCTAGGAAAGGACGTCTCGGTGCAACCTTGATGAGTACAGTGAGACCCAAAAAGGCGACTCCAGAGCGGGATCCTCGTGCTACTGATACCGTTGCACCAAATTTGGTCAGGATTGTATCATACTATTTTTGAAATTGAAATCGCCAAATGGATGCGCATGCCACACACACTGTTACACACAATAAAAACCACTCCTTGCGCATACTTTCTGCTACGCAGTTAATTTTCCGTCCGTTGCGAACCAAGAAAACAGGAGGGTACATCTTTAAAAAAAGAGCGACCGATTCAGTGATCTCTTTGTCTGGGAGTCGAACCCAGCTTTCGCGGTGAAACTTCAAATCTATATTCTTCATGACAGGCGCGTGTACTGGCCAATATACTAACAGAGAGTTACGTATGATAAATAAGAAATCGTACATGTCCCATTAACCACGAACAGAGCAAAAGGGGGGGAGAAAACGTATGTCAAGATGATGACAACAAATACCTGCTCTGGGCCTCGAACCCAGTCACGCTCACGTCGATTCGTGCCAACTGGCAACCGATGGTCTAACAGGGTGTTTAAGGACGTATGGGAGAGTTCAAATTCCTGAAAATCGGGTACTGTCTCATTCAGTGCTGAACGTAACCGTGCGTGTAACCTCTTCATTATAAGACAAGTGATGATCTGTATTTCTCTTCACCTTAAT